TTAGATAAGTATATGTAATTTAGAGTTAAGATGTCTAGTTAGATATGTTTTGAGATCTGAAGATTTCTCGAATTTAGTGTGAACTGTGATTTAGTTTTAAGTATGTGTGTGATTATAAGGCTCTCTTTACATCCGATAAGTTAATAAATATGATTGTTATTGTTACCTAATTCCGTTTTCTGAGTCAGTTAGTAGGAGAGTAGTTACTGTAGCCTTTATCCTTTGACGGTACTTGTACCTGGCGCCCAACAATTTAGTGAATCATAAAGTCAAAGAGCCCACCCACTTCTTTTAGACCTTGGCAAGCCGAGCACAGTTTTAGAAACTACTCTCAATCTACAAATATTTTGGCATATAAAAGTAAGGCTACACAATGACTGACTCATTGCCGCTGGAAAGGTATTACTTTTTCCTTGTTGCCATTCGCTTGTCATTGCCGAAAAATGTAGTACTTTCATTGCCTTTGGAGAAACAGTGTAACGTTAAGGCCAGGTGAGTAATCAGTTACGAAGCCCTGCTCGATCTGAGAGCAGCTAGTACGGTGGAGAAAAATTCTAGGATCACAAAAGTTGTTCTGGAAGAAAAGGGATATCCTAGTACATGTTGCCAGATCGATTTCGACTTGTCGCCACCCCACACATAGCCACGTGGACTTACCGGACCGCCGGTCAGCTGTTGGGACGGCTGCACCAACAGCGCCAGCAGCGCTAAACAAGCAACGATGGCAATCTTCATTTTCTTCACTACTTTTGGCCTCGCTGCCGCTTTATATCCGAACCGCGGAGTCACAACGTGACAGAAACCAACCACCCAGTATTGTCTCCAACTGCGCACGATGTCGTGCGCCGGTCACCAGGGGCTCAAAGTGCGCAAGCACCTTAATGACAAATAGCAAAGTTCGTTTTCGATCTAAAAACCTTTAAAGGTGTCATATAATGTTGATGGGGCTCACCGGTAAATGAGAAGGCTCAGCAGTAAAACGACCGACAAGAAATGTTCACTACCTGTGTGTCTGTGTGTATGCCACATACAAAGTATCGCATAAGTGGTTTCGGGATATCTTCGTGGTATCACCGTGCAAAATAGTTACATGTTCTGCAGAAAAATTTTCCTTGATGTGTATTGCAAAAAACAATTCAAAATTGTAAAATGAAAAGCTTATTTTATCGATTACGAATTTATCGAGGAGCAAGAATAGACACTTGTTTAGTTTATAACATATTTTGCAATTCGAAATTTCCAGGCAATTTATCAGGATATGTTAAACGCTGATTAAAAGTACGCACGACGTTTTGATAGGTATCAAGACCAAATTAGAATTGAGAAACCCTACACAATGAGTGCATTTCAAACCGTTTCAAACTGAACGACAGGCAAAACTTTTGACCTTTGAAAATCTCTTTAAAGACAGAGTTAATTTGACTAATTTAAAACCAAAACCATATTATGCATATGTAAAGTATACAAGAAATAAAATCGAGGCAAACCTAAACAAACCTCAATGCACTCAATGTGCACATTGGGAAAATCCACTGCAGGATACAGCAATGAACATTACCAGAAAATAGGCTGTTGTCGTGTTACTTACGGTACGCCTCTGTAGAGAACGCGGTTGCTGTGGCATCAGACTCTTCCCGGCAATTGAGAAGTAGGGTCCATGGGGTCTCAGGTTCTATCAAGATAAGGCAAATGCTGACGACTAGCACGACAGCAGGTCAGCATCAGCAGCAACAAAAGAAGATGTCCAGAACTCTGATTGGCCATCTGTGCACGAAGGTGCCCAATCACAGTTCTGGAGATCTTTCTTTGTTGATGCCTTATCTTGATAGAACCTCACCTGACCCGTGCCCTGTCATTCCTAGGCGGGTCGGTCGCGCGCAGCAGGTGATCAACAAGGCCGCTCCGAGTTCCAAACTTCAAATGCAATCTGGGCCGGGAAAGCCCTAGCTGGTGGCACCCAGATTTCGCACCGAATTATTACTAGTTCAATACGACTTTATGGAAGTGCAACCTCTTTAATCGCAGACATCGACCTCCTTTTGGAAACGGTGTCATAGTCCGCTTGTGCCTCCCACCTCCCTCGTACCCTCCGGTACACCACGTCTAGCAGGTACAATGTACCCCTCGCTACACCACCCCTAGGTTTAATGTGTTCCCCACCCTCGAGGGTAGGGGGTACATCAAAACTAGGGGCTGTTGTGCCGTAGGGGGTACATAGTAACATAAGCCCTAGGGTACATGTACCCCCCTAACTCGAGGGTTGGGGTGCATCAAACCTAGGGTGGGTGTATCACCCGTGGGTACATCATTCCTAGAGTTAGTGTATCCCCAATTTAGCCGTCGTAGAGGGTACCTTATACAAAGTGATTGTGTATCCTCCAATATAAACGCATGGGGCTACGTTTCAGAGATGGTGTTAGACCCTCTCACTTCGAAGGTTCGGCAGGTTTTGTAAAACACAGTTGACTTTAAATATTACTGTTATCGACAGTTAGTAGGTTTTGCAAACTTGGCAATGTTCACTACAAAGCGGAATTTGGGTTATATACGGTTAGGTTGGGTTTCGTTAGGTTTCGTTATGTAGGTTAGATTTGGTTATGTTGGGTCGGTTGGGTTTTCAACTGCCAATTATCTTTCCAGCGGTGCAATGCAGCGTTTCTGGACAAGTCGTTTGCATTACGATCAGTTCAAAGGGAATTGTAAGTAATAACCAATGTATGGGTTACAGTAGTCCTAATGTTTAATGTTCCCCATCTCGACCTAGGGGCTACATGTGCCCTAGGGCTATTGTACCATCAGGTGGTACACTACTGCCCCTAGTCTTGATGTACCTCCTACCCTAGCGGGAGGTTTTTTAAGTTTTTTCCTTTAACGTTTTCGTAACCCTACCTTGCCTGTTATTCTGGCCTGCCATAAGAGGTGGTTTTCAAAACTTCAATTTTGGGCGTATTTTTTTCTTGACTAAACACGCAATTTTACGGCCCTCTGGGTGAAAATTTTAAGGTGAAGGCTCTATCTCTGCCGGTTTGCATGATATGAATTGTTTTTATATTGCTGTAAATAAGCAACCCTTTACCTTCCAATAATAATTCGTAGCTCGAAAACCAGCTGAGATAGAGCCTTCTCCCTAACATTTTCACCCAGAGGGCCGTAAAATTGCGTGTTTAGTCAAGAAAGAAATACGCCCGAAATTGAAGTTTTCAAAACCACCTCTTATGGCAGGCCAGAATAACAGGCAAGGTAGGGTTACGAAAACGTTAAAGGAAAAAACTTAAAAAATGTTTCCAGGAGTTTTCATCCAAAATGGCGCCTGGAAAACACTATTGCAACCCAAAAATCGAAAATAAGCGATATACGACTTACCCTACTCTACCCTCGAGGGTCGTGTTTACATTTAACCTAGGAATGGTGTACCGGGGGCTACCTCACCTCCCTCCCGGGTGGTACAACATGACAGTTACACAGCCATCAGGTAGACGAGCAACACTTGCACAGCCAACCTTGTGGGTGTTGGTGTTAAAGAGAGCCATGGCCGTGGCGACAAGCTTGATCGCTGTATCGAGCTCAGGGGTCGTCCACATATTACGTCACGCGCTTAGGGGGAGGGGGGGTTGGCAAAGCGTGACGGTTTGTGACGTGGGGGG